GTGAGCCAATTCTCAGTAAAAGTCACCTGATTTACTGTGACATTCTCTTTCAATGTTTAATCACCATTAGCTGTGAGATGACCATTCTGCTGATCCCAGCCTTTTCTGAGTTTGCCCTGCTTCCCTGCCACCCGGAGTAGTAGTGTCTCCCTACTTTCCAGAAATAGAAATCATTTGAAAATGACCATGAACAATACCTCTCAAGGTTTGTCTCCCTTCAACCTTTCCTCTTAGGTGTTTTTTTCCCCACCCTTCCGGCCACCTCTGGTCCTTTATTTTGTTCTCTTAAATGCTCTAAATTTTCACACCCCATCAAGTGTGACAACTAGCACTGAGCACAGAATTCTAAAGTAATAGCAAATATGACAGTAAGATTATTTGCCAAATCCTCTAGAATAAGTTCACTACATACACACACACAACACCTAGGGAGAATGGTGCCATGATATAATTACAATTACCAGGAATGTGAAGGAATTCTGGGTGTTTAGAGGAGGGAGAATGTACCAGAAGGGAAGGTATTTAGTGGAATGGTAACAGAGTGACACTAAGGCTCTTGGAGAACAAGAGTATTTCTAGGCTCCAAAACACCCAAAAGTCAGGATGGAGAAAGAGTTTTCTTCTTTGCACCTCACCTTAATATAATTCCTATTTGGAGGAATAACCATTTCTGAAACATTCCTTGCATTAAATCCAAGTTACACCTTTTTACTTGTGCAAAATATGGAACCACAGACTCTGAGAGCTGGAAGTTATCTACGAACCAAGTGACAAGAGTTCAACCTTCTCATTTTACTGATGAGGACACAGAGGATGACTGCCCAACGTTACTTAGAGACAAGGTCAGGACTACAACCTGCGCCTGCCGGCCTCAGGCCTAGGCTCCTTTTACTGGATCCCCACTATCTCCATCAAGGAGGTAATTTAAGAAATCAAGATCTAGAAAGAACAAGACAGACCCCCATAAGAGGACAGTATGAGGACATAAATAGGACAAAATGAAGCCACAGGTCTTCCTAGTTCTTTTCCTAAGAAGGACTCAACCCCATCCTGATGCCTTAATTTTACAGGTCAGCCTGTTAAATCCAAGCTCCAGCGGTAATTACATAAACGACACCACTTGTTTCGTTTCTAGAACTTCATCCTCTGGCTTGGAGGAGGAGAGGCAAGGCTTCCAGATCAGGAAAGAAGCTTTGCCTGGGTTCCAGATAAGACTGGGTCCCACTGGGCACCTGGGTGGCTCAGTTGTTAAGCGTCTGTCTTCGGCTCGGGTCATCATCCCGGAGGCCTGGG